AGGACCTCAGGTCATCCATGTCCTTCAACATAGTTTTGCATACTAGGGGGCTTTCTTTGTGTTATTGGAGATTGAACCTAGGGCCCATGCATGCTAGGCAAGTGCTCTACCACTGAACTATACCACCAGCCCTTTTAATTTTATTTTTAGACAGGTCTTGTTAAATTTGCCCAGGCTGGCCTCAAATTTATGATCCTCCTACTTCAGCCTCCATAGTAGCTGGTATTATAGGTATGCTGTACCACACCCAGTTTAGGCTGGACTGCCCTTCCTTCTTTCCTTCCTTCCTTCCCTCCTTCCTTCTTCTTGTGCTGGGAATTGAGCCCAGGGTTTTGCTCATGATCAGCATACAATTACCACAGAGCTATATAACTCAGCCCCCTTTTTATTGGTATTTCCTGTGTATCAAATTACTTAGTTTTTGTTTTTGTTTTTGTTTTTTTGAGACAGGGTCTCCCTATGCAGTTCAGGCTGGCCTTGAACTCACTATGTAGTCCTTGCTGGCCTATCTCAGGATCCCAAGTGTTGGGATTACAGGTGTGCACTACCAAGCCTGGCTTTTGTTTGTGGAGACAGAGTCTTGCTTTGTAGTGCAGGCTGGCCTTGAACTCATCTTGTAACCTAGGCTGCTCTAGAACTCACAGCAATTCTCTTGCCTCAGCCTTCAGAATGCTTGGATTACAGGTATGTGTCACAATGCCCACAATTCTATTTAATAAAATAAAATTAAGCATTCAGTTCCTCAGTAACATGAATCACATTTCAAATCCTGAGTGGCCACATGTGGCTGGTAGCCACTGTATCGAACACAACAGCTACAGAACCTTACCATAACTAGGAAATTTTATTGGCCATCACAAGTCTGAATAATTGTGTCTCCACACAAGGTGGTGCCAGATGGGATACTCTGCAACCCTGAGTGTGAATTAGTTAATTGATGGGAATTAACTACAATATCCATCAGCTGAGCCTTGTAATCCTTAATTAACCACAGAGGTGAGTTAGACGTTACCCAAAGAGTGAAGGTAGGCCTCCTATGTTATATAGAATCGGTCTGATCTGGAGGTCCATCATAAATCCATGACAGTGATGGCACCTGTTGAATTTCTGGATGTCGTAAGAATAATGACGTTGGTACTGCTAAATTCCCAGGCTACCATGGAAATGAGGGCGCTAGTAACAATCTGTGTAATCACAGAGAGGTTAAGGTGTCAAGCTCCTTTCCGTTTGCGCAGCTTTCTAAAACCATGACCATTTCAGTGGTGCTTCCCAGAGTAGTCTGGGGTGGCAGGAGAAGCAACTAGAATGTGATTAAGTACGAGGTGTCAGGGTGCAAACCCTGCTGAGGAAGTGTGAAAAAAGAAACATGGCGGGGCACTTTTTCAGTAGGAAAAGGCTAGATCTAGTACTTGAATACAATGACATTGTTAAGCTTGCCTCTTGCACAGGCGCACTGCAGGAATTATCAGAGCACAATTAGGCGCGCATTTTCTCTTTTCTCTCCCACTTTCCTTTCTCTTTTTCTCCTCTCCTCTGCCCCTCCTACCACTTGATCCTTCAGTCTTTCCGTTAGTCCGTTTAGGTCTATCCTTCCGAAGCCCTCACCCCCACTCGACCCCCCCTTCCGCCCTCTGCGCAACACCGCTTGGGCATGCGCATTAGGTACAAAGCCTCGCTCTTTGTCCCCATCTGTCGTTCACACGAACTCAAGTCTTTGGCGTTCGGTAGCCAATAGACTCTAAGAAATGGCGGAAAAAGGATTCCGCCTCTTTAGACACACCTTGATTAGCAGTTCGAATAACCAATCGAGAACACGACTTCGTGCCCCTCGGGAGGCACCGAGCTCCGTCGTCTCGTTTCCGGCGGTCGCGCGCTCTTTTCTCGGGACGGTAGAGCCTGTGTGAGCGTCGCCGTTACTCTGAGGAGAGGACTGTTGGTATTGGGTGAGTTTTGGGATGCCTTGGTTTCTTGTTTGGGAGGGGAATGAGATTTCATGTAGGATACCTGAAGGGAGAGGCGAAGGCGAGGCTGGATTTGGAGAGAGGATGGCGGTTCCAAAGCCCCTTGAGGCCTTGTCCCCGCCGCCACACGGCCTCCTCAGCCCACCCGCGGGGGCCCTGTGCGCTCAAGTCGCCCTGCCTTGGGTTTTACCCGTCGCCTGTATTCTTTCCCTCCCCAATTCTTTGTGCGACTGTCTGTGAATCTTAGCCGTGTCGGTTTTAAGTTCTCGGTGCCTGAGCCTCCCTGGGCCAGAGGATGTAGGGTCTATTATGCTAGAGCCCTGAAGTCGTGGTTGGAGGAGGAGGCGCTTTGTCGGACGCTCCTCCTCTCCGCTCCGCGAGGCCATTAATTCAGAATGGGCGAGTGGGGCTCCTCCAGCGATGTTTCTTTGTCAAAACTCTTAGCGAGGAAGTTCCACTGCTACTCCAGGCCCCACAGCTTTCGGAGTTAGGTTTTAATATACCCATTTTTTAAAAAAATGTTGCTGCCTACCTTTTTGAACCGTTTATAGCATTACTTTTTGAAATGAAACTTAAGTGTATAGCTTTCCAGTCGAGTATTTCCCACTTTGAGAACATCTTATTGTATGTTGACACCTTTCTTTGTGTTTTTAACAGCGAAGTCGAAGTTAGAGAGGACTGGGAGGCACTTTGCTGTCTTCAATTAAGTTAAGGTAGGTATAGGGAGGGGGTAAGAGTTGCCAGATAAAGTTCAGGGTACCCAGTTGGCTAAGAATTTCACGTAGACGAAAAATTTTTAAGTACATATTGCATGGTACTCAGAGTAAACTTTTTATTAATCTGAAAATTTAACCGTATATTTCCTTTTTTTTTCCTAAATCTGGCAACTCTAGTAGAAGGCAATGGCCGGGTTTATAATGTATGTTTGTCCAACTTTCCCTGAAGGTCCTAAGAAACTCTTAGGAAAAGAACTCACTGTTTGTGTGTTACAGCCTTTAGGCTGGCCATCTGGGCTGCCATTTCAGCCTGGTAAATTTACATCAGGTTTCTTCAGAAATTTCCACTTAATAATTTGACTCCCTTTGCTGAAAACTGAGGGAACATTTTAAGATATTTCAGATATGTGTAATTACTGTTTGGCTTTGTACCTAAATGTTTACACAGTTCTGTCATACCCAATAGCCACAGTTTTTCTAAGCCATCAGTACATATTCTTTGAGTCCTTCATCAGGGTTAATCTTTAAGGACAGTTAAGTAGAAATCCTTGTTGCTTATCTTTGCGCTTTATTCTCTTTTCAGAGACTCAATAACTAGGGGGCAGTGAATTTATTACTCAGAAGAGATTTCTGCATATAATTCCAAATTATATTAGTGGGCATCATCAGAAGTAGGTGATCTAGGGCAATACTTGAGTAATTGCTGCATTGTGAACATTGTACAATAGTATTTTATGCAGTAACTGCATTTCATGAAACCTATGGGGAGGAATATATGGAAAGGGAAGATTAAAAAGATGAGCATTGGAGACAGTTAACACAAAATAGGCAATTTAGTTATTAAAATATTTGTTGCAATCTACCAGAGTGGAAAGAAGGTCAGTGTACAGTATCTGAGGCACCAATTTAACTAGAGCACGCACTCAATGTAGAAATAGGTGTGTTGATTGCCTTCACAAATGTTACTCTGCTCTGAGTACTCATTTAGGCCTTAAAATAACCAATCCTGTAAGGTAGATTCTGGGACAGGTGAATAGACAGGCTCAGAAGTTAGATGACATGGTCAGTGAGTTTGGTGGAGTTTAAACTGAGATGAAGCTCTACATGTAGCACATTGATTATGAATTTTAGAGTTCAGCAGACCTGGGTTTTACTCCATCACACTTGTGGTGTGACCTTGGGTGAATAAAGTACAATGGTATCTCAGCAGGAACTTGATTCTTTACATGGTTTTGGTCACAAACTGAATCAAATTCAGTGGTTAGGTTCACTGTTGACCTTATGGGGAAATTTTATTAATTTTGTGCCCAGAACTGTGGAAAGAATTGAGTTTGTAAACTGAGGTACCACTGTATATCTCTTAAGGCATCAGCTTCCTTAACTAGAATAATAATAGCTCAGCACTAAATGAGACACAGCAGGCTTAGCACAGTACCTGGCTACAGATTCTTCTTTCTTTGAGCCAAAGTCTTGGCATAGTTTGAGCCATAGTTCAGGCTGGCATTGAACTTGTTATGTGGCCCAGGCTGGCCTCCCTGTTGGTAATCCTCCTGCCTCAGCCTCCCAAGAGCTGGGATTACACCACACCTGGCTGAGGCCAAACTTTGTGAAACCAAAAAATGACCTCCATTGAAATAAATGGTTTGGAAACATGTTAACATGTGCTTAGCACTTTGTCCTTTAGGTAGAGGTAGATCATTTCTACTAGAAGTTCTGATAAATTATAAATATAGTTCTTTGAATATTTTTTAAGTTTTGCACGAATCCCTATATAAAGGTTTCTATAAACATAAGTATATATTATGGGTTCTTCAGTATGATATTAGCTACTCAGACTGGGGCCACTGACTCCTAAATTAAAAGCAGGAAGAAAACAAAAAAGGTTCCTTGGATTCTAACCTGCGGTAAGAAGGTAAGAACTAGTGGGAGAAATGGCTATGATGATAATCTGTTTCTGGCATTGGCCACTTTAGGACCAGGAAAAGGGAGGTATTTAGTACCTGGGACCCAAATAGAAGATTTGATTCTGATGCTCACCTTACCTCATCCTAAATCACACACCCCCCCTTTGGTACTGGGAATCAAACTCTGGACCTTGCCCTTGCCAGGCAGGCATGGCACCACTGAGCTAAATCCCCGGCCCAATCCCGAATTATTTCTAGGGTGGACTTAGAGTTTGTGTTTTAGTTTCCCTACTTTTGTATCTTTATTTTTATTTTATTTATTTTTTCTCTTTTTGATACTGGGGACCAAACTGGACCTTGCACTTGCCAGGCAGCTGGCAGAACCACTGAGCTAAATCTCTGACCTTATATCCTTATTTTTAAAAACCATGCATTCTAGCTGGGCGTGGTAGCACATACCTATAGGCCTAGTGTTAAGCTGAGGCAGAAGGATCATGCGTTCAAAGCCAGCCTGGACTACATTGTGAGACCCTCTCAAAAAAACAGCAGCTAGGCATGATGGCACACACCTGTAATCACAGCACTGAGGCAGAGGATTCCCAGTTTGAGCCCCATCTGAGCAGTTTAAGAGACTTGGCATGACTGTTTCTCAGACTTTTGAAAAAGGTTTGAGGCTGTAGCTTACTGCAGAAGCCCTGGGTTCAATCTGTAGTACTAAAAAAATCCCCAAAATATGATTTCCTTTTTTTTTTGGGTGGTGCTGGTGATCAAACCTAGGGCATTGTGTATGCTAGCATTCTAAAGCTGAGCTACATCATCAGTCCTGACTTTTTAAAATATACTTTTGCCCATGAAATTGCTGCACCTGATTATAGCTTTTTAAATTGTTAGGGGCCGGGGATTTAGCTCAGTGATTCCACCAACTCCCTCGCAGTGCAGGGACCTGAGTTAGATCCCTCGTATGAGGAGGGCAGAGCCAATAAATTGCTAAAACTTTTGACAAAACTGCTATGCTGTGTAACACAGTCACAGAGATAAGACATTTATTGTAGATTGTAATAGAAAAAAACGAAACAAATGTAGGGAGCAGCTTAGTAAATTATACATACAGCTGGGCTTTATGTAGCCATTTAAAGTTATGTTGATGTTACAGAAAGGAAAATCTGAACGTACTATGATGTATTATTTCAGTTATTGAAATGGCAAATAAGCAAAAATGGAAATTGTAGAAGGAAAAGGATCAAATGCAGTAGGGGCTTGATTGACAGCTAAATACTGTATCCATTAGCATTGTAGGAGTGAATGACATGAAAGTGGTTTATTTATTTTAATTTTATGTATGTATTTATTTTGTTTTTTTTGAGACAGTGCCTTTCTATGTAGTTGAGGCTGGCCTTGGACTCCCTATGTAGTCCAGGCTGGCCTCAAACTTGTGATCTGCCCTTAGCCTCTCAAGTGCTAGGAGTACAGGTATGTGCCACCATGCTGGGCTCAGTGAATGCAGTTTATTATGTGTCATAAAGAAGAAAGGGCAGGCTACAATATAGTTTTTATTATAATGTGGTCTCTGATGCATACAAATAAGAGTCCACTAAAAAAGTATACATACTTCAAGAAAAGAAAAACTTGTAGAAATATTTTTCTTTTTTAACTTTGGTACTGGGGATCAAACTTGACTTTGCACTTGTGAGGCAGGTACAGCACCACTGAGCTAAATCCTCAGCCCTTTGTATAAATATTTTAATACTGAATTTATTGAGACATGAAATTAATCCAAGTTACCTTCAGCCCCTACAATTATAAGAGGTGCTCAAAGTGGTGGCCATCAGCTTCCAGACATTTATTAGGGCAGCGATCTGTTTGGGTAACCTTGGTCATTGAGATTGCTGAGCATGCATTTTCAATTTCTTATCTGAGGGCCAGTACAGTAGTGGGTTTTCTGTGATAGGCGACATCCTCTAGGGTCCCCCATTCAAGGAATAACACCATCTGTTGAAAAAACATCATACTATTTTTCTTTTCCTGAAGTGTGTATACATTTTTTGGTAGACTATATAAAGTTAATGACTAGGAAGGTGTACACTAATGTTAACATTTGACTATTAGTGGTGGGTCTATGGATTTTTCTTTTTATTTCTAGGTTTTCTATATTAAAGATTATTTTGTGGTAAATATTGTTTTTGATTGGCAATGAGAAACCTAAGGTTGATGAAAAGATGAGAAAAAATTCAAGTTTTGGCTTAAAGTTCAATGGTTCTATTTATTTTTCAACTCTTCTATTTAAAATTGTAAGCCATGGTGGCACACAGCTTTAATCCCAGCACTTGGGAGGCTGAGGCAGGAGGATGGCCAGAAGTTCAAGGCCAGCCTGGACTATGTAGCAATACCTTGTCTTAACCATACAAAAGGAAAACAAAATTTCAGTATGCTTCCTTCCACTCACCCTTCCCATTTTTCTGTATTTTTCCATAGTATGTAACCACTTAAGTACTGTGTAACTTGCTTATCATGTATATTTTCACTGTATATATTATCATGTATTTGTTTTCACTAGTTAGAAGGGAAGCTCCAGTAGTAGCAGGGATCTGCTTTGTTCATGGATGCACCTTGCATAGAACCTAGTAAATAGTAGGAATTCAGTGAATACTTCTTTTGTTGTTGTTTGAAACAGAGTTTCACTGTGTAGCCAAGGCTGATTTTAAGCACAGTGTAGCCCAGGCTGGCTTTGAACTCGGATCCTCCTGCCTCAGCCTCTGGAGTGCTGGGATTACAGGCATGTACCACACACCTGGCTCTGTGAATAATTGTTAAATGAATTAGTAAAATGAAAAATTGGTAACTACAAACAAAAACTTTTTGTTTTTGCCTACCTTTATCTTGTCTACATTAACACGTTAAAGAAAATTTCCCCATAAGAGCATTAGATATATTGTTCATGTTTACCTGGTCTCTATGTCCTTTGTTGTTTTGTGTGGTGTGTTTGTTTTTTGAAAAGGGTCTCCCTGTGTAGCTCATGCGAGCCTCAAACTGATCCTCTTGCTTCAGCCTCCTGAGTGTTGGAGTTACAGATGTGCCCCACGATGGCTGGCTATTCTTTTTTTTTTTTAAGTGCTTCGCCACAGAGATCCACTCTCAGCCCTGATCTTTATTATTTTTAAGGCTGCATAACATTCATTTGTAAGTTTTGGATATTTTAATCATTTTCATTGTTTTTTATCACAAAGGCCATTATAATAAATGTTTTTATCGATAGTTTTTTTTTTTTTTTTTTTTTTTTTTTTGTTTTTTTTTTTTTTTTTTTTTTTGAAAGGGTAGGATTAGATTAGGCATCATTTTGAGTTTTCATGTATGACCTGAGGTGTATAATATGAGGGATGTATACCTATGTGTCATGTAATGGCAAAGGTTCCTTGAGAAACAAAAATAGCAGTCTACAGTTATAGATGGAAAAATAAACTCTCATTAGGGACTTCTCAAGGTAAATGTTCACTATTGGCAAGACAATGCCAGGCATCATTCTGTGGCAGTAATGCGCCACCACTCCCAGCTTACTGGTACCTTTTTTTGGTACATTTTTCTTTGTTTTTGTTTGTTTGTTTGTTTTTGGTACCGGGGATTGAACTCGGACCTTAGGCTTGCGAGGTAGGCAGAGGAACCACTGGGCTAAATCCCCAGCCCTTTTTGATACATTTTTGATGTAATGATCATATTCATCATAGGAAATTTGTACCTGTACATGATATATGTTTTTTTTGGTAGTAGGGATCGAACTCAGGTCCTTGTGCTTGTGAGGCAGGCAGAACCACTGAGCTAAATCCTTGGCCCTGATAAATCTCTTTTTTTTGGTTTGGTTTGGTGTTTTTTTGTTTTTTGTACCAGGGATCGAACTCAGGACCTTGTGCTTGTGAGGCAGGTGGTGGAACCACTGAACTAAATCCCTGGCCCCCTGATAATATCTTGATTCTTCTTTTTTCCCTAGTCCTCTTCCCTCCTTTCAGCCTCTCTTCTCCTTATTAACCAAAGCTTTTTCTTTTTTCTTCCTTGTCCCTCCCTTCTTTCTCCTCCCTCCTTTGTTCCCCTTCTAATTTGAACATTTTTTCCCAGTTTCCCAATATCTGTTATACATTTTGGTCCTTATTTATGCTTTTGGTATTTCATACCAGCAGAACAATGCGGTATTTACATGTGTGTCTGATTTATTTCACTGAAGAGTATGGTTTGTAGCTAGGTGCATCCATTTAGCTAGTTTATCCTTTATGGTAGAGTAGTACTCTATTGTATACAAAAACCATATCTTCTTTGTCCATTCATGGGTTGATGGGCATTTGGGTTATGTCCAAGTTACAAACTCTGCTGCTATAAACATGGGTGTGCATATATTGTGGTATGATGCTGGGGAGATACCAAGAAGGGATATAACTGGGTCAAATGGAACCTCTTAGGTTTTTTTTTGTTTTTTGTTTTTGGTACCAGGGATCAAACTCGGGACCCTGCACTTGCTAGGTAGGTGCAGTGCCACTGAGCTAAATGCCTCCCCCCCCAATTCCATTTCTTGGTAACAGCTATTTCTGGAGTGTACCAGATAGAATCTCAGCATTTTAATTTGCATCTCATAAATGACCAGTTACGTTGGAATTTTTTTCATATATTTACCATTTGTCCTTCATCCGAGTGCCTATTTCAGATGCCCATTTTTGGACTGAGTCTTTAAATTTGAGGTGATCTGATTTTCTTTCAATTCTTTACATATTAGTCCTTTGAGGAATAGGTGGCAACATTTTTTCCCACATTAGGTAGGTTATTTGTCTGAGATCGCAGTTGTTGATTCTTTGCGATATTTCCTGTGTGATTGGGGTTTTGTTCATGGATATAGTTTAATTTTAAAATTTTCTTGATAAATTCTAAAATTTTTGAGTTAGGGAGTTGGATTGGTTTTTGTTTGTTTGTTTGTGTTTTGAGACAGAGTCTCACTATGTAGTCCAGGCTGGCTTCGAACTTAGGGAAACCCTCCTGCCTTGGCCTCCTGAGTATTGCATTTACAGATATGTGTCACCATGCTTGGCCATTTTTTTTTTTTTTTTTTTGACATGGTGTCACTGTAGTTTCAGGCTGGCCTTGAACTCTGTTGGTGATCTTCCTCCAACTTCCCAAGTCCTAGGATTACAGGGATAGACCATCACATTTGGCGTTGATTCTCTTAATATCTCTTGTTTTATATATTACCTTGTGAAACATTTTTGGTACTGGGAATTGAACTCAGGGCCTTGCACTTGCTAGGCAGGTGCTGTGCTGCTGAGCTACATTCTCAACCCCATGAAACAGTTTTTGTATGTAGAAATTGGTAATTGCATTGTATTTATGTTAATAATGCAGCGTTCATGAAAATGTCCTTTTCTGCATCTTTCCTTCAGCTCAATTCTGACTAGAAGTGTCATGTCTTAATTCATTTAATCTTACAGATTTTTTTCTTACTGTTTTGTTTGTTTGCCTTTTGAGACGGAGTATCGCTATGTAATCCAGGCAGGCCTTGGAACTATGTGCCCCAGGCTGGCCTCTTACCTGCCTGAACCTTCTAAGTGCTGGGGGCTACAGGCATGTGCTACTATGTTCAGTTTACAGTGGAGTGTGCCTGTGTCTGGTACTGCTAATTGAACCCAGGGCCTTTGCACTGAGGCACATTCCAAGCCTTTTCTTTTTTATTTTGAGATGGGTCTAGCTAGGCAAGTTGCCTAGGCAAGACTCAAACTTGGGAACCTACTGCCTCAGCCTTCCAAGTGCTGTTACAGGTATTCACCACTGCTCTTGTTCTAGTGAATTTTGTTTTGTTTTGTTTGTAAGACAGGGTCTTACTATGTAGTTCAGGCTGGCCTCACTCAGTTTTCCCCCTGCTTCAACCTCCCAAATGCTGGCATTATAGGTGTACCCTACCACACCTGGCTACATTGATTTTTAAATGACAGAATTAACATACATCCTTTTATATTTGTTTCTTTTATTGCTTTTGTAGTTGTTTATCATTCTATCATGATTAATAACTATTTACTAAGTGCTTACTCCACCAGTAATGAGTTAGTGTTTCACACTGATTAGCCCTCATAGCCACCTTGAGAGACAGGTAGTTTTGTTCATCCCTTTGTACCAGAAGAAGCAGACATATAAGTAATTTACTAGATGGTGGTACATTGCTAGTAAATATTAGGAAGATGATTCAAACCTAAGTATGTCTGACCCAGTGACACATATTTAGAAAGAAACTTTACTGTTGATTCTACTGTATCTATGTAAAGTACCTCCCCAAAATCCCTAGACTTTAATAGTCCTGTCTTATGATAATTAGAATCTGTTTTAGTCATTGGTTCCCCACTTCCACTCCTGTACTGGGGCTCGAATCTAGGACTTGAAAACTAAGCTGTTTATTTCCCTAGCCCTTTTTATTTATTTTTCAGTTTTGTAACAAGATCTCAACCAAGTTGCCTAGGCTGGGCTTGAACTTGGGATCCTCCTACCTTAGCCTCCCAGGGTTGCTAGAATTATAATTGTTCACCATCTCCTGCTCTCAGTCATTGTTTTTAAAATGGTATTTAATATATGATAAGACCCATTTTTGGAGAGTATATTTTAAAGTTATAATAAAAGACATATTGCTATTAATCTCCCTCAAATATTCCCCTCACTTCAAATACATTCCATCTCTGTTAGGGCAGCTTCAGTGGTCTGAATCGAATCGAAATGTTTATTTTTCATGTCCATTTTGAGGAAGGGCCAGAAGTTGTAGTTCTGGTGGATGAGGACACACTAATGTTTTTATTAGCCTGCCTTCCCATTGGATAGTACTCAGCAGCGACATTCAATGTACTTTTTGGCACACCTCATAAAGACACTCAAGATTTCCAGAACTGTTTCAGATAGTGACAGAATAGTGGGATAAGTGTGTTGAAAGTGAAGAAAGATGTTTTGAGGGGGATCAATGGCAATGTGTCTTTTATTGTAATAATTTTTTTAATTTAAGCATACCTTAGTTTTTTATCTGCCCCTGTATGTTATTTTGGGGAACAATGGTTTCCTGTTAATGTAGTTTTTAAAATTTTTTTTATTTGGACGGGGTCTCACTATGTAGTTGAGACTGACCTGGAACTCACTATGTAGCCCAGGCTGGTCTTGAACTCATAGCAATTCTCCTGCCTCAGCCTCCTGAGTGCTGGGATTACAGGTGTGTGCCACCACACCTGGCAAAAAAATGTTTTTATTAGTATAAGTTTGTGGTAGATCATGATTACATTTGTTAATATATAGTATTGGAGTGGAAATTTTCTTAAGTCATTCTAGTAAAAGTTCTCATCTAGTGTTGCCCTATTTTTTGAGTTTGGGGATTGAACCTAGGGCTTCTTAAATGTGTTTGTACTTTTTTTTTTTTTTTTTGGTACTGGGGATCAAACTCGGGTCCTTGTGTTTGTGAGGCAGGCGCTGGAACCACTGAGCTAAATCCTTGGCCCCATGTTTGTAGATAGTTTTAATTGTACTTCTTTGCCATAGTTTTTCTTTCTTTCTTTTTTTTTTTTCTTTTTTTGGTACTGGGGATCAAACTCAGGACTTTGCACGTGCAACGCAGGTGCGGCGCCACTGAACTAAATCCCCAGGCCTGCCAGTTTTATAAAGTGGCCATTTGTTTGGATCTGACAAAAGCCAGAATACCAAAGGTAATTTGTGACATGTAAGTCATCAGGAAGGTGACTGATTGCATTTGTTATTCCACTTTTTTTTTAGGGTGTAAAAATGCAGAGCAACAAAACCTTTAACTTGGAGAAGCAGAACCATACTCCAAGGAAGCATCATCAACATCACCACCAACAGCACCACCAGCAGCAACAGCAGCAGCCACCACCACCACCAATACCTGCAAATGGGCAACAGGCTAGCAGCCAAAGTAAGCAGCTGCTAGGGTAGAAATATATTTTCCTTTTCAAAATACCTCCTTGGTTTTTATTTTTATTTGTTTGCTTTTTTTTGAGACAGGTTCTTGCTGTGTAGTCTAGGCTGGTCTTGAAACTGTGGCAGTCCTCCTGCTTCAGCGACCCCAGTGCTGGGATTATAGGCATGCACCACCACACCTCGAAACTTTTTTCGTTTTTAGATTAGTATCTTGGAACTGCGAGAAGATAGGCCTTTATGCTACCCTTTTATTTTTATTTTTTTCCTATTTAACACCCCCCCGCCACACACACACTACCGGGAATTAAACTCAGGACCTTGTGCTTGTCAGGCATGTGTGGCACCACTGAGCTAAATCCCTGACTCCTATTTATTGCTTAAGACCTGTTAATAGAAAAGGGCTGATCTCATGAAACCAAGGAACAGACATGAATGACAACAGTTGAGTATACGTTACTCTGATGTGTTGCCACATTGCACTACTAAACATGTCCTTTATTTTTTGGTACCGGGGATTGAACTTGAACTTGGGACCTTGCATTTGTGAGGTAGGCACTGGAACCATTGAGCTAAATTCCTGGCCCCATAAACATGTCTATACATTTCACCTCATTTTGTTTCTTAGAGGTAATCATCAATTGACTTGTAGTTAAAGAAAATATTGGTACATCTTTAAGGCCTAGTGGAGAACTTATAAATCCTGGGGCTAATGCCAGGCCAATTTTAATCAGTAAAATACCTTTGAATGTATGTTTTCATTCACTCAGTTAACTTTTGAGTTTCTTTTGTATGGTTCTAAGACTAGAACCAATCTCAAATTTTATTTTCAAAGGTTCCTACAAAGAATACTTTGTTAACTCATTTCTTTTCATTCTGTTTTCCTAAGCCTGAAAAAATCAGAACTGTTAAGGTTATGAAGGTTGGTGAAAGCTTAGGAAAATGGAAGTGTAGCTGTGTGTGTCTGTGTGTGTGTCTATGTATGTCTATGTCTTGTGTCTGTTTTGCAGTGCTTAGAATCAAACCCCAAAGCCTTATACATGCTAGGCAAGCCTTTTACCACTGAGCTAAATCCCTGCCCTGAGCAGTTTTTTGTTTTTGTTTTTTGAGACAGGGTCTCACTATGTAGTTGAGACTGCCCTGGATCTCACTGTGTAGCCCAGGCTGGTCTCGATCTCAGTGATCCTCCTTTCCTTAGCCAGTGTTAAATTTTAAAATCTAATGCTTTATAACAACTCCTTTAACTGCTTAATTTTCTCTTTGACCAGTAGCTCCTGTATTCTCTCTCTGGCTTATTCCAGTTTGGTCCTGGGCTATAGTATAGCAGTTGAAATATTGGGGGGGGCCTCCCCGATATTTGCATACTGCTCTCATTCTGAGTTGTAGTGTAAGTGGCATTGGGAAACAAGTGTTTGCCTTCTGTGCTATAGTTATCTTCTAATCTAGCAGTAATTATAGCTTTTGAAGATGTGACTGTAATTTTGTGATGTTATTTTTTTTAATTTTAGTTATTTTTTTGAGACTATCTTGCTATGTATAGTTCATGCTGCTCTTGAACTCACTGTGTAGCCCAGGCTGGCCTTAAACTCCTGGAAATCCTCGTGCCTCAGCTTCCCAAGTGCTGGGATTAGAGGCTTGTACCACCATGCCTTGTTATTTTTTTTTAAATCCAGTTTTCCCCCTCAAGCCCCCTTCCCTCCCCATTTCTGGCTATTTTTTTAAGAAAAATTGTATTAGTATATGTTTGCAGTATATAATGATTTATACATCATGGGTGACTAATTTTCTTTGCCCAATTTTTTGAGTGACTTAACGTTTTTCTCTCAGATGAAGGTTTGACTATTGACCTGAAGAATTTCAGGAAACCAGGAGAGAAGACATTTACCCAACGTAGCCGTCTCTTTGTGGGCAATCTTCCCCCTGATATCACTGAGGAGGAAATGAGGAAACTATTTGAGAAATATGGGAAAGCAGGAGAAGTTTTCATTCATAAGGATAAAGGATTTGGCTTTATCCGCTTGGTAAGCAACTGTGGGCTTTGGGGCATGTGCTTTATAAAAGGTAGGGAAGCTAGAAAATGGTGGATATGGAAAAGCAGGTGTAGAAATAATTCTCAAGATTGTTAAAAGTTTGCAATTGAAACAATAAAAATTGCAGATTTTTAATTATATTTATTTTTTTTCCTCGGGTTTTAAGAACAACATAAGTTCATTTGTCTAGAATACTAGGGCTGAATTATGCCCTTTAGAATTTATTGTTTTAATTGGGAAATTTCATAGAAGTAAATAGAATAGTAAAATGAATATGTATATATGCATTGCCCAGCTTCAACTCATGGTTAATTTTATTTGCTCTCCACTATACTTCAGCATATTGATTTTTTTTCAGAAAAAGTTTTGGTGACAGTCAAGGTTTAGATAATGTATTTCCAAAATCTATACATATATTGTCTCATTAAGACTCTTCAAAAACATGAGTTTTTTTTTGTCTTTTGAAAATCTTTTAACTTGTCAAATAGGCAATTTTTAGGAGCAGAGTTTTTCTTTTTTTTCTTTTTTTTTTTTTGTACTGGATCAAATTCAGGACCTTGTGCTTGTGAGGCAGGCGGTGGAACCACTGAGCCAAATCCCTGGCCTTAGTGAAAGATTTTTGTTGGGGATGGAACTCAAAACTTTGCCCATGCTAGACAGGTGTTCTATTCCTGATCTATAAACCTAGCTTTACTGGCTTTGTGTTTGTTTGTTTGTTTTTTTTGTTTGTTTGCAAGGCAGGCACAGTGCCACTGAGCTACATCCCCAACCCCATATGTTTTGTTTTTTTTGAGACCAGGTCTCACTATGCAGTTCAGGCTGGCCTTGAACTAATTATGTAGCCCAGATTGGCCTGGAACTTGTAGGAATGAATCCTTTTGCCTCAGCTTTGCAAGTGCTGAGATTTCATGTGTATGCCACTATTTCCAACCTATCTTTTTTTATCGTATATCTTATCTTTAACATCTGATTTGATTTAAGAAAAATGTGCAAGGGGAAATCTTTTTACATCTGGCCTCGAACTCACAGCAATCCTTCTGCCTCAGCCTCCCAAGTGCCAGTATTACAAGTACACCACCATGCCCAGCAAGGGGAAATCATTTCTAGTTATTATTTATCTCCATAAATTATTGGAGCATAATGTGGCAGCCAGATGGGATGGGGATAGTCTGAACTAGTTCTCATTCACATCTGCCACTAACTCAGGATGATGTAGGCAGGTTAGTTTTTATGAGTATCAAGAAGTCCCATCAAAGTCTTCAGTTCTGAAGAAGCCCCTTGGAAGGCATAAATGCTTAGAGTGCATTGCTTGTGAAATTAAAATATTTTGGGTGCTGAATTGCAAGATTAGAGGTGTTAGAATGTTTTTTCAATTTTTGGATGATCTGTTACCACTTGGGAAAATAAATCATGTAAGTGGTATTCACAAATTTCTAATCTCAGTCATTTAGGGTAACTAAAAAGTTGCCTGAAACCATAATTCAATTCTTTTAGCTTTTTCATGGGGGGGGGCATTCTTTTACTGAACTATGTTACTTTAGGTTATTGATGATTGCTTAGGTGGTTATCCTTAAACTGAGTTTTCCCTAATGTCGTTCTTAGGAAACACGAACCCTTGCGGAGATTGCCAAAGTGGAGCTGGATAATATGCCCCTCCGTGGAAAACAGCTGCGTGTGCGCTTTGCCTGCCATAGTGCATCCCTTACAGTCCGAAACCTTCCTCAGTACGTGTCTAACGAACTGCTGGAAGAAGCCTTTTCTGTGTTTGGCCAGGTGGAGAGGGCTGTCGTCATTGTGGATGATCGAGGAAGGCCCTCAGGAAAAGGCATTGTTGAGTTCTCAGGGAAGCCAGCTGCACGGAAAGCTTTGGACAGATGCAGTGAAGGGTCTTTCCTGCTAACCACGTAAGTAACAGTCTTCAGAAATAGACCTTTGGTTCCTAATTTTTTCTGTGGTCTGGAGAGTTAGTCTTTAGTAACCATGTCCCTGTGTTTAAAGGGGTATGTTGTGTCTGTGTCTATTACTGGAGGGTTTTTGTACTGAGCTGTAGGCACAGCCCTTTTTAAATTCTTTATATTGATGCCAGGAGTGGTGGCATGTGCCTCTAATCTCAGCACTTGGGAAGCTGAGGTAGGAGAATTGCCTCAAGTTTCTCCAGACTATGCTGGGCTACGTAGCATTACCATGTCTCAATCATGCCCCCCTCTAAATAAATAAAAAATTTTGAGATGGGGTCTAACTTAACCTACTAACCTCCTGCTTCAGCCTCCCAGTGTGGTGGGGTTATAAGTGTGCACCACTCTGCCCAGCTGTTTAAAGCCACGTGCACACTTAAAGTCTTAGTAGGCCAAGAGACTGAGGCAGAAGGATAATAAGTTCAAGCCTTGCCTGGATAAATGAGCAAGACATATCTCAAAATGAAAAAGGGCTGAGGGTGTAGCTCAGTGGGGGGAGGCCCTGGGTTCAATTGCCAGTGTCACAACAAAAAGACTGAAGCCAGGTGTGGTGGTGCATGCCTGTAATCCCAGCACTTGGGAGGCTGAGGCAGGAGAATCACCACAAGTTCAAGGCCAGCATGGGCTACATAGTGAGGTTAAGGACAGCCTGAACTACATAGCAAGACCATATCTCAAAAGAAAAGAGAGAAAAGATATTAGATCTTAATCATCTTTATAATAGGGTCTTTATAATCTTAATGGGAGTTGTATGAAGAGTAAGAAAAATACTTTTTCATTCATTCAGTAGGTTGTCATTTAATCAGTATTAAATATCCCCTTTAAAGTCTTAAAACTATGCAGAATTTCTTTGTATTTATTTTAGTTTATTTAGTGGAATTCTATAGATACCAAATATTAAGCTGTACTTAAGTATTGCACTGTCCTAAAATTGACATTTCTTTGTGAACGTATTCAGAGATCTAAATCCTGCTGACTCCATCCTATTAACTTCAAATTCTCTATAATGACATTGAAAAGATTTGGTTACTTAGGGTTAGGTGTAAAAATGCCTTTAGAAATATATCTGATTTTCTAGTCCTGGCCCCTAATTAGTTCTTTGTACCAATGACATGATTTTATTAACAGTAAACTTCTTTCTTTCACCCAGATTTCCACGGCCTGTGACTGTGGAGCCCATGGACCAGTTAGATGATGAAGAAGGACTTCCAGAAAAGCTGGTTATAAAGAACCAGCAATTTCACAAGTATGTGGTAATGATAGATTTACCTATTAGGTGTTACCCATTGTTTGTTTTTTGAGGCAGACTCTCTTATGTAGTTTGGGCTGTTCCTGAACTCACTATGTAGCCCAGATTGGCCTTAAACTTGCTGTGATTCTCCTGTCTCAGCCTCCTGAGTGCTTGTATTAGGCATACACTGTCATGCCCAGCTTTTTTTTAAATCTATTCTTGAGGTACTTTTAAAGGGATATGTGAGAGACAGATCTTTGCTTTGCATGTCCATTGGCATTTAACTTGTCTCCCAGAAGGAATGTGTTGCTTCACTTGGGAAATCTTGGATAGAGTAATCTTTTTTTGGGTGGTGGTTACTGGGTATTGAACTCGGAACCTTGCGCTTGCAACAAGCGGTGGCACCACTGAACTAAATCCCCGGCCCCAGAGTTAGTAATCTTGAAACCTTTCTATAGGGAGCGAGAGCAGCCACCTAGATTTGCACAGCCTGGCTCCTTTGAATATGAGTATGCCATGCGCTGGAAGGCTCTCATTGAGATGGAGAAGCAGCAGCAGGATCAAGTGGACCGCAACATCAAGGAAGCTCGTGAGAAGCTGGAGATGGAGATGGAGGCTGCCCGCCATGAGCACCAGGTTATGCTGATGAGGCAGGGTGAGTCATAGCCCTGTGGTCTTAAAGCCAGAAGAATAACAAAAGGGCTTTAGGCCAGAGTTTCTTTGTATTATTCAGTACAGAAAGACCTAAATATCTGCTTTTATTCTCTGAAATACTTTATCTTCCAAGCAAATAAATTGCTTGGAGATGTGACAGAATACTAGATTCTTGGAGAAGGAATTGATAGCTTTGACTTGAGTTTTAGAACCCGAGCACTTGACCACCCAGGAAATATTATCCTCTTTGCATTCTTGATTTTCATGGAGAATTATTGGGCACACATGAAGAGTACTCTCAATTTGTTATAGATTTGATGAGGCGCCAAGAAGAACTTCGGAGAATGGAAGAGCTACACAACCAAGAGGTCCAAAAACGAAAGCAACTGGAGCTCAGGTAACTTTTCTCGAACCCTTTTTCTTTGGCAACTCTAAAAGGTAATGATTCCCTCTTGCTTCCTACCACCATGCTACCTCACACATCTCTAAATGTATTGGTGAATATCTCAAGGTTGCTTCTCAGGTTCTCCCCTTTGGATGGGAGATGTTTTAGCTACCTGTGGTTCTAGAAATTACCTGGGACTGCACTAGAGAAAAAGCAGCTAAGTATTCTTCTCATTAGGCTTCCTTAGGGGTTGCCTTAATTCTCAAGCTATGGTAGTCTTGGGTGAGCTGATCTGCTTGGCTCAGTCTCCTGTAAAGATTTCTCAAGTTCTGGAATACCTCTGTCTTAAATACATTGATGGCTCTCTAGGCAGGAGGAGGAGCGTAGGCGCCGTGAGGAAGAAATGCGGCGGCAACAAGAAGAGATGATGCGGCGACAGCAGGAAGGATTCAAGGGAACCTTCCCTGATGCGGTATATCTCCCATATGCCCGTGAAGTACCAGGCCATTTGTGGTATCACAAAACCACCATGAGTTATTTGTTAGGATGTGAGGTTATGACCAGTTTTTTTCTATGCTATGAAACTCCTTTTAGAAAAAAGGATTCATGGGAACTAGAGGTAAGGTTTGAAGGGGAGTTCATCTTATCTCACAGGTAATTAGGAATCAAAGTTGGGACCCCCACTGTATGCTGTTTAGACTCAATGGTTGTAGAATGAGATAAATTCAGTTCTGTTAACAGCCTTGTTTAATTCACTGCTGTCCTTATAGTTGTAGAAGTTGGAGTCCCAAAAGAAATTAACTGTTTCACCCCATGCCTCTCACTGTTACTAATGAGAAACTTAACTAAATAGCTGTGTGACCTGAACTCTTGTGTACAACTAGTAAGGGGCTGTGAATTGTTCCTTAGCTTAGTCTCAGTGCTCTTGGGATGTGTTATCACTATATTTTATTCCCTTAGTATGGAATCCTCTGTAGATTGTGGTAGAATGTATTGCTGTCATGGACTGTTTTGAGCATCTTTGTTTTTCAGAGAGAGCAGGAGATACGGATGGGCCAGATGGCTATGGGAGGTAAGGATTTGAGGTGTGATGGCTCTGATTTCCTTTTCTTTGTTTGATGTCTGGGAGCTATATAGCTTCTCTTACCTTCTCCAGATTCGAGGGTCTGATATTTCCAGAACATCTTTATTTGGGGGAGTGGGGGTAATGCTTGTGGGCTGGTGGTAGTGTCAGTGGTGGTGATATCAGCCCAGAGGTCTTGTTGAATTGTTTTCTTCAGTATAGAAAACACGTCCATGTACTGATAACAATACTCTGCCTTAGGTGCTATGGGCATAAACAACAGAGGTGCCATGCCTCCTGCTCCTGTGCCAGCTGGTACCCCAGCTCCTCCAGGACCCGCCACTATGATGCCAGATGGACCCTTGGGACTGGTAATAAGATGGAACCTTGGGACTGGTAATAAACTACAGGGCCTTAACAGTAATTTATTTTTATTTTTATTTATTTATTTATTTTTTTGGTACCAGGGAATCAAACTCGGGTCCTTTTGCTTACAAGGCAGGTCGTGGAACCACTGGGCTAAATAAATCCCCAGCCCTTTTTTTGGGGGGTTTTTGAGACAGGGTCTCACTATGTAGTTAAAACTGACCTGGAACTCACTATGTAGCCCAGGCTAGTCTCAAACTCACAGCGATCCTCCTGCTTCAGCCTCCTGAGTGCTGGGATTACAGGCATGTGCCACCACACCTGGCTGCTTTAACAGTAATTTTAAATGGCAAGAGAAAGTGCTTTGCCTTCACAGTACTTGGGCCTAACTCAGTTTTATAGGAAATAAGTCTTTAGGACTACTAGTATCCATGAGATTGTTTGTTTGTTTGAGACAAGGTCTCACTATGTAGTTCAAGCTGGTATTGAACTCACTATATAACCCAGGCTGGTCTCAAACTTGCTGTAATCCTCCTGTCTTGCCCAACTTGAGTGCTAGGATTACAGGTGTGTACCACCATGCTTGGTTATTATTTTTACTTTTGAACAAATTCAGTCATACTATGGTCTGAGTTAAATGAGTAGCCAGTCTGATTGCTATCCTGGATGAACAGGTTTTCATTTGGAGAGACAAGAATGAAGGTTAGGCATTATCACATAAAACATATGAATCCAAAGACATGGCTCGCATAATCCAGAGGTTTTTGTTGTAATGTAAAATGGGTAGTGTCAACAAAACTGGTTAGGATTCAGTTGGAGAGTGATGGCCTGCTCTTGTCTAGATACTAATCGGAAAAAGTTTTGGCTAGAGCACAGCCAACCTGCAATTTAGTATGCAGTGTTTAGTCTATAGTGAGGCATATAGATAAAAGGGTAAAGGTAGGATGACTCAATTTATCACTAATTCAGACAACTTTCCCCTTAGGGTTATCAGTGTTAGCATCAGGAGCCTTGATTAGTTGAATGGAAATAGCATACAGTGGAGAGAGTGACTATAGGTGATTGGGAAGCTTAGGACAAAGATTCTTTTGTAACATTGTTCTCTTTTTCTCTTTTAAGACCCCACCAACAAGTGAACGCTTTGGCCAGGCCGCTACAATGGAAGGAATTGGAGCAATTGGTGGAACCCCTCCTGCATTCAACCGTGCAGCTCCTGGAGCTGAATTTGCTCCAAACAAACGTCGCCGATACTAATAAAGTTGCAGTGTCTAGTTTCCTGAATCCCTTAAAAGAAGGAACCCCTTTTGGACTAGCCAGAATTCTACTTGGAAAAGTGTTAGGGATTCCTCCCGATAGTTAGGTCTTCCCTGCCTGTACTACTCTAGGGAGTATGCTGGAGGCAGAGGGCAAGGGATGGGTGATATTTAACAAATCAGTTCTTTGTGATACATTGTTTAATCAGTTCTCTCGGATGCATTCCTGAAATCTCAAAACATAACTGTTGAAGGCCTGGGGGGAGCCATGGCAAAATGGTTCCAGCTAAGAGTCCCATTAATCTTGATCATTCCGTTTTTTTGTCCATTGTGTTTTTATTTGCTTTCTTATTCTCATACCTCTTAATCCCAGAGACACTGCCACATATGCTACAAAAAATCAGACATCTCCCAGTGACCTTAGCCCCTTTGCTCCATTTGCTTCCCAGTGAGAATTCAGGCAAATGTCCACAGAAGTCACAGCTTATGTATGGTTCTGTTATATCCCATATATTACCCTTTCATGTACTAAAGAACACATTTTTCTCTTAGAGATTTTCATTTTAGTATATCTTTAAAAAAATCTTGTGTTAACTTGCCTCCATCTTTTCCTTGGATGAGGACATCCCAGGAATGACCTTTTTGTGTCTATGATATTGCTATTCACAGCTTTTGATAGGCCTAGTACAATCTTGGGAACAGGGTTGCTGAATGCTGAAAGTTTGACAGTAGCTCTTAGCCTTGCCTATCTTAGGTAGTTATGCTGTGCATTTTTTATTGGTGTACCATGTTTGATTTATCCCTGATACCTTAAATATGGAGTTTTCTGAGAAATGGAACAGTAATACAGCATCAACTTATTAAAGTACATTTTAAGCCTTTTAATTTTCTGTGCTGTTTTTAAAGGGTAAGGGAGGGAAGGGGGGATATTTTAGGACATGAGCAGTAGGCTCTAATAAGGGTGGTCCTTTACTGCCTTTTGAAGTATTAGTTGTCTAGACAAGTGGGAGGGAGGTACATATGGTGATTGAGATGGTTAGCAAGGGTCAGTGCTAATGGGCCCTACATGGAAATAATGATCCCAGGGAAGCTTGCTTTTATTTTTATTTTTTTGTGGAACTGGCGATTGAATTCACGACCTTGTGCTTGCCAGGCAGGTGCAGTGCCACTGAGATAAATCTCTGGCCCTGTTTTGGGGTTTTGAAACAGTCTCACTACGCAGTTCAGGCTGGCCTTGAACATGCTATGTAGTACAGGCTGGCCTCAACTCAGAACAACCCTCCTGCCTCAGCCTCCTGAGTGCTGGAATTACAGGCATTCACCGTCTTGCCTGGCTCCCAAGGAAGCTTTGAAAGGAAAATGAGCTAGAGGAATTGTACCTTCATTGAGCTGGTGAGGGGTTGGTCTCCCTTGGTATTTGTTTCTGAGCAGCTGCTGGTAATGTCAGAGGCTTGGAATTGGCAAAATCTAAAACTGTCTCAACAGTGGTTAGCTGACCTCACGCAAGTTCCTAGCGCTACTCTGATCCCTTTTTTCCAGAGCCTCAGAGCTAAAATTCTCATAAGCTTTTTCCTATTGGCTGGGAAGGCCAAGTGGAGTTCCTTGCCCATGTTAGGAGGTTTATGCCTTCTGAACTAAAGATAGAACCAGCAGGCCCTTCCAGGCAGCTAAAAGCCTCCAGAGTAAGAGGTGTTTCCCGCTCGGCAGACGCCTTGAAATAACCCTCTCAGTAATTCTACCAGTACCTCCATGTCTCTACTCTGCCATAACAAAGGCTGTGGGCAACAATTTGACCCCAGTACCAACCTACCTGGTGAGTAAATTTTGACCTGGCCAGAACATCTGAAGGATGCTTGGGAGTGGGTGGGCAGCTGTGGGGCTGTCTGTTGAGTAGGAAGAGAAAAACTTGATGTACTGGCTATAATTGGTCTAAGTGATCAATCTGCTGAAACATTCTATATTACATGGAAAGAAAACCATGCCAGGCATGGTGGTGCACGCCTGTGATCCCAGCACTCAGGCTGAGGTAGGATCACCTTGAGTTCAAGACAAGCCTGGGGTACATAGACCCCTGTCGGGGGGAAAAAAGAGACATGAACCTGGAGAAAGAATCACATTTGGTATAGTTACTTTTCTTCCCTTGATTTTTCTACTGGTATTCACAGATTCCTGTTGCTATCACCCTGGGGTCCCAATCTTCCATGATGCACTCAAGGTGAGGAGTAGGTGAGGGGAGATAGCAAGAGCATTTCACAAAGGAAATACACCCAGAAATCTAAGCTCATCTGGGTCTCTGTTACCAGGGTTGGTCCTGCTGCCAAAAGCGAACTGTAGATTTCTCTGAGTTCTTAAACATCAAGGTAAACTCCTTTACTTCCTTGGATTCTGCCCTTAATAGAAAGATTCTATTTCTAATCCTTTTCTCCTTATTCATACTAGGGCTGTACTATGGGACCACACTGTGCCGAGAAGCTTCCTGAGGCCCCTCAATCTGAGGGACCTGCTACAAGTTCACTTCAGGAGCAAAAACCTCTGAACACGATTCCAAAGTCAGCAGAGACCTTGCGCCGAGAGAGGCCTAAGTAAAGAGGAGGAAGCCCCTGGGTTTTCCCTACATTCAGCATTCGAGGAGTGATTAAATGGATCATTGGTATTTGGAAAATAGGGATCAGAGATGTGAGGAGGGTTTGGAAAATACTTTTTATACAGTATTCTCTGCCTTAGGGGAAATTTATGTCTGAAATGTCCTCCACTCTAAAGAGGTCTGAGGATGATGGGATAGATTATTTTGTATCCGTGGGATAGGTAGCTTAGTACCTATTCCTAGACATTCCTAAAACATGCTTAGATAATTTTTATTTCCTGGAAAAAAGCTTTAAGATAAATCTTACATAGAGAAAAGGAAGTATTGACAACCAGGAGGCTACAGAAAATAATTTTGTGAGAATAAGAACGACAGAAGAAAGCTATCTTAGGTCCACAATTAGAAAGATGAGATGATGCAGTTCATTTAGAGCAGCTGAGTAGATGGACAAGGTTTGGGGATTAATTTCCCTAGAGTTGAGGAATGTTGGATGTTCACAGAGATGAAATTGGGAATGGGTTGAAATTGGTTAAGGTGTGTGAAATGCATGTATCAATTTCCCAAAACAGCCTACCATTATTTAATATTAACATGCACTAACAACAACAACAAAAAAAGTACAAGGGGGAAAAACTGGCAGTGGGTAACTACCCAACTTCCCCAACCCTGCCTCACTTTAACCAGATTCAACTCCACTACAATGAGTGAGTGTTGAAGCTGGCAATCATGATTAATTGGCCAAAACTAAATCACCTGCTCGGCATGGTGGCGCACTCCTATAATCCCAGCACTTATGAGGCTGAGGCAGGAGGATTGCCACAGTAAGAGGCCAGCCTTGATATGTAGTGAGTTCAAGGCCACTATGCATAGCAAGACCCTATTTCAAAACAAACAAAACTACATCACCTACCTATAACCCCTAGGTCAGAGTTGCCTCTGAAGCTGCTGCCACTAAATATATCTCATGTCCTAGAAACGGCATTGGAACAAAAGGAACTAGACCAGGAACCTGGAGCAGGTAGGTGGATTCTTAGGAGGGCAGGCCTCACAGACTGGAATTCAGTCGAATGGCATGGCGGGGATAGGGGGGGATGGATAGGTTCCTGACTTTATTTCCCTTGCCCAGGAATTGATAGTAGTCTGATCCGGACTGGTTCCAGCTGCCAGAACCCAGGATGTGATGTAGTAAGAGTTTTGGGGAGTTCATATATGTGGCTGAGAGATGCTGCACCTGAGAAATGACAGACATGGGGGTGAGTGGGGTATACCTGAGAATGACTTAATTCTTTTTCCTAATACTCCTTTATCCTTGTTAGGTTTACCAAGGCCCAGAGAGTGATGCTACTCCATGTACCTACCACCCAGGAGCACCTCAATTCCATGAAGGGTGAGGGTGAGGGAGGGGACTGGGTAGTTTGTAAGACAGGTTTCTCCTAACATTGATCATAAATATGTGAGCTTGCCGGACGTGGTGGCGCACGCCTGTAATCCCAGCACTCGGGAGGCTGAGGCAGGAGGATCGCTGCGAGTTCGAGACTAGCCTGGGCTACACAGTGAGTTTCAGAGCAGTCTGAACTACATCGTGAGACCCTGTCTCAAAAAACAAAACAAAACAACAACAACAACAAAACATAAATATGTGAGCTTGGGGGTAGGAATTCAATTGAATTATCTTCCTGCCTCAGGATGAAGTCTTGGAGCTGTTGTGGCATCCAGACCCTGGATTTTGGGGTATTTCTAGCACAGCCAGGATGCAGAGTTGGTAGACATGACTGGGGGAAACAGGTAAAGCCCCAACTTTCCTGGTTCTTAATTTTTTTTTCCAGTACGTGGAATCTAGGGACAGGCGTGGTGCCACTGAGCTAAATCCCCGGCCCTCTTGATTCTTGATTAAAACCTGATTCTAAAGATAAACTCCTCCCTGTACCTCATGGCCAAGTACCTTGTCTTCTTTCTTTAATATAGACCAAAAAAGATTCAGCTCCTGGGCCAGGGATGTGGTAGAGTGCATGCCTAGCATGTGCAAAGTCCTAGGTTCTATCCCCAGCACCACGGAAAAAAACAAAAAGATTTTTGCATCTTATTCCTCTATAGCCCAGAAAGTTTTGCCATACAAAGTAGTGTTAATTTTTCTAAGACTGGCTGGGTGTCTTCACATACTTGATGAGAGCTCCTCTTGGGTTAAGAGTTTATCTTTCTTTTTTTATACTGAGTATTGAACTCGGGAACTTCACACTGAGTTGTATCCCTAGCTTGCCTGCCTGCTTGCTTGCCTCCTCTTCCCTCCCCTCCACTCTTTTCTTTTCTTTTCTTTCTGCAGTACTGGGGATTGAACCCAGGGCTTTCATACTGAGCTATACCTCAGCCCTTTTTAATTTTTAAAAAATATTTTTATTGGTACATTTTAGATATACAATACAGTTACATTCATCATTGGGATCTTGTACCTTTACATGACATACCTTGGTTCTTATTTTTTCCCCATTAATTTTTTGAGACAGGGTCTTGCTAAATGCCCAGGTTGCACTTAAACTTGCTGTCCTCCTCCCTCAGCCTCCCACAGTGCTGGGGTTACGGGCATGTAATCTAAGAGTTTATTCTTACCATTCATATTTCACATCTTCTCTTTAGCTGCCAGCACCTTGCCGCCACGACTGGCACCAGACAGATTCCTTAGTAGTGGTGACTGTATATGGCCAGATTCCACTTCCTGCATTCAACTGGGTGAAGGCCAGTCAAACTGAGGTGAGGAATGATCTGATGCAGGATGGAAGGCCCGTGGATTGGATGATATTACAGTCTTACAAGCAGAAGTGCTATATGCAGTTAACCCTTAGGCTCCATAGTCCCCTGAGGAAAGGAGAACTGTTAGGTCAGATTTG